ATCAATGAACCCTGATGCCGGTTCACAGGTTGTCCTTCCTTGCACCACTTTTGGTAGGTACCAACCAGTGCATATTGGTAACACCCCACAAGACCTATGATTTTGGAGATGCACTTCAGTAATCTCGCAGTCAATATTTGTCCACTGCAAAGTAATTCAGATCGTTTCGCTTGCCATTTTTCCTGCTTTATTTTTGCCACTGTAACAATATAATCAATGTTATACACTTCACCTGTCACCTACAGTGGGGTTCATTGATGCCCCTGGTGTGCAAAGGATAACAAACATAATTTCAGAGATTATCCCTGGAATGTTCCTAAAACTTCAGAATGCTAAAATACAATGTAGTAGTATATTAATTTGAAATAAATGCAGATACATTTAGAATGCTAACTCAAATTAAGAATACATTTAAGTAAAATCCAACAAAATATATAATTTACATTAAACTTAAAACATTACACCCAGCTTCTCTTATAAAGGGCTAGTGGGACTGACCTACTATTGTAAGTTAACTAATTAGATTGGCATTGCAAGGTGCTTAAAGGTGACAAAGTGAAACAAAAGTAAAGGTAAGTGAAGTGAATAAAATAATATTCGAAACGTTGCATTAGAGAGATATTAATGTCAATTTAGTAGTAATAGGCATATAAATTGTCTAGAAATTGGGGTGTCAAAATTTCTTTGCACTGAATAAACTGCACTGTGCAATGTCTATTTTTATAAAATATCCAGTGTTTGCACTCCAGTAATGAGTATCGTATACAAAAGGATAAGTCCTGCGCTCACTCCCATCACTACTGGGCCAGCAGCAATGACTACAATACACATTAGCCCCAATATATATAGTAAAAACCAAAGAAAAACAAGTTACCTGCGCTCTCTCCTTAATCCCTATGTATATTTAGACAAATGGAGGTCATTTAGTTACTCCAATGGCCATTGGAGGGAATGCCCGCCTGCCAACGTCAAGGCAGACCCCCCTAAGCGGGTCCTAACACTGACCATTTAGCTTGCTTCCTTGAGCTTCTGGCAAAGATATCTCAAATGAGACATAGGGGTATTTTTTTATATACACTCCTATATATTTATTAACCCTTAATAGGGAACACATGGGATGGGCAGCAGCATTGTAACAAATCTGGTTTTTGAACCTGTCATGAACCTGTCGTACCTGTGAAGGTTCTCATGAACCTATTTTGAAATTCACTCTTTTATTGTTGAATTTGCCTTTTTAATATTGTAAAGCACAGCTAAATAAGTTGGAGCTATATAAATGCCAAAAATAATAATAATAAAAATAATAATAATGTAACGGATCGCCTGGCACCCCGACTGGGTACCTCCGTTAAAGGATGCTCCTAGCGCTTCCTGAGGACTCCAAGCACTGCAGCAGACACCACAACCACCGAACCGGAGAAGCTTATGAATCCTCTCAAGCATATGAATGCTGTAGACAGTTGAATAGGAACCATACGAATAGGTTTACTCTCCTAGCAGTCAAACTGGAACAGCATACAATAAATCCTTCCCCAAATAATGAGACGACACTTCACTTTGAGGGTTAAAACAGGAACTCCTGTGCTGGCACACCCAGCCTGGTTTTTATTACAGTCTTTCACATACAGGACCGCCCACAGGGAGGTATAAAACAACCAATCACATATCAGTTACATCCCACATATTCCCTCCCCTTATCCTGGGAGGAAACTCAATTACACATACAGTTAAAACATACTTTCTACCCAACTTTCATAACTCTAAAACCATACATCACATTCACATAAAATTACATATTCACAATCAATCCATTCAGGGGAACAACATATTAAAAAATGGCATGAATCAGACCAGGGGTTCAAAAGTTAGTAAAAAGTCCTTTTGTGACTAAATGAAGCATGGCTTTCTGGCCCAAACCAGTTTCAGAGTCTTCTATCCTGGAGAGTAATTCAATTATCTCCCAGGACAGACACAAGACTCCATTAAGCACATGGTTGCAAAGAGACACAAAACACTTTAAAATACATAAAGTTACATTTTACACATAACACACAGACATTTCACATATCCCCAGATAGCTCAGGTCTGAGCGCACATTATTAAGTGAATGGCGCTCGGACCACACAAATACAGTTTAATCGCCATGGAGCCAAAGTCCTTACAGTCAGTTTCATACGAATGGGCTCCATGGGATTCCTATCTGGGGTATAACACATTCACATAAAGTCTGGTCCATAGTCCAAAGGCAAGAGGCGGGCAAGCAGCCCCCTCCAAGGACACGTGGCGAGGCCGGTTTCGCCACAAATAATAATAATAATCATGAGCCCAGTTAAAGAATACTCTTTTAAGTAGCTGTTACTGAAGTATACCGACCTAGTCTCTGGTTTGTTGAGTAATTCAAAGTCTTCCTTCATAAAGTTCTACAGGGGAGCATAGATTCTCTGGTATTAAATAGTACTAAATTAGAGCCTCCAATCAATTAAATGTCAAAAGGGAAATATAACACGTCTGTTCACTCTAAAAGAGTGAGTTTATACTTTATTGCACAGAGGTATGACAAAACCGATTCAAAATTATAATAGATAATATTTAATAACTTACATCTCTGTCCTCAATATATTTCAATAGGATTCATAAATGAATTGTAAAAAAATCTTTGCATTTTAAGTAAATACAATTTCTGTATTGATTTGATTTGCACGTCAGGCATCCCGGATTAAAAAAAAAAAAAAAAAATTATGATTTTTTTTAATATAGTGCCGTCTTTAAAAGACATGTTTTCAATCTTACTCAAATTAAGAGTGAGGATTTTCAAGAAGAAAAATATTTTATTTTGGCACAGTTTCATTATAATTCTTACACAATAAGAGACATTTTTATTACTTCCTTTCATTAGAATTACTTTCTAATAATTTCGGGATGTATTTATTGAACTCCAAATTTGTCAAATTAACTTTTCTCTCTTAATTATGAATACACAGTAATATCATGAAGTAGATAGGAAGTCTAAAGTCCAACATTCCAGAATTAAATAAACTCAATGTAAATCTCGACGTTTTATAATTGTACTCCTGAATTGTCTTTGTTAATTTTGCAGTCTTTACAGACATTTAATACGCTTTCCAAATGATTCAATACTGTTAGAAAGGTTTCCAAATGATCAACTGATTTATCTACAAAAGCCTCCCTTAATATATGGGAATTTTGGTAGATATCATTTAAAAAAAATTCAAGCAGAATTTAATATTTTGGAAAGCTTATTAAATCAAGGCCAATTAGGTCAGTAATGCATTTATAAAATATTTACTTTATATAAAATAGCACAACACAACTAAGTTATGCATTTATGTAAAAGTTATGGTACATAATGCATACTATTAAATAGCTCCTATAAAAAGTTCTGTATTTTCAGAGGATACATTTTAATGAGACCTACAAGGAGATAATTATGCCTTTATATTTTAGCCATTAGTGAGTAAAGCACTGAAACATGTCCTTTGGAAATCTATGGCTAAGCAATAGTTAATGGCTCTATGCTGGTAATTTACACACACTGAATGTGACAATTAGCAGTTGGGAAACCGATAATACTTGCCAACTTGCTAACCATATCGACTACCATTTTAGTGGTAGCACAGTTGGAAAAGGACTCACAGTTAGCCTTTTTTTTTTTACATTCTTTATTTTCTGGTTTTCTATGAGAGATAAATACCAAGGAATTGCGTCATTAGGAATGTGGCGGACCGCCTGGCACCCCAACTGGATGCCTCCGCCAATCTATTCTTCCTAGTGCTCACTGAGTACTCAAAGCCCTCCACCATACACCGTAACCACCATAAACCCCACAGCCAGTGTTACAGTTTGGTTGGGGTCTCGCTGTCCTCCACCAACCCTGGACCCAAGACTGGGATCCAGCTTCCAGCTCCAGAGAGTATAGTAGGATAGCTCTTACAAGAGCTAGTGATTATAATCCAAGGGAGTATAAGAATATAGCAATGCCCAGAGTGAATATAGCTTTTCCTTTCACACATGAGACAAGGCTCTATCAGTGGCGGATCCAGGGGGGGGGCAACGGGGCAATTGACCCCCCCGAGAAATCCGCCGGTCTCCCTCCCCTGCCAGCACATGCAGACGCTAGCCCTTCAATGTGCCTGCGGACCGGAGGGGAGATCAGAGATCTCCCTCCCCGGTCCGCAGGCACTGTGCTGACAGCCGGCAGGGGAGGGAGAGGGAGGACCCGGGAGCTCAGCCTGCAGCTCCTCCGGGTCCTCCTTTTGCGAGATTTGGAGCATTGCCACGGTTACCACGGCAACGCTCCAAATCTCGCGAGAGTGAACTCTAGCCCTGGAGCGCAGGCTAGAATTCACTCCTACCACTGGGACCACCAATGAATCCGGACCTCCAGGGAAATGCCCCCCCTCCTCCCCAGTAAAGGTAAGAAGGGAGGGGGGGCATAGAATATTTATGTATTTTAATTAAATTTAAAAATATTATATTATTAAAAAAAAGCCACCCTACCCTGATCACACACACACATACATTGCCCCCAATACTGCCCCCCTTCACACAAACTGCCCCCATTCACACAAACTGCCCACCCATTCACACAAACTGCCCCCCATTCACACACAAACTGCCCCCTATAAACACAAACTGCCCCCTATAAACACAAACTGCCCCCCCATTCACACAAACTGCCCCCATTCACACAAACTGCCACCCATACACACATACTGCCCCCCATACACACACACACACACACTGCCCCCCATACACACACATACACTGCCCCCATACACACACACTGCCCCCCATACACACACACTGCCCCCATACACACACTGCCCCCTATATACACACACCACCCCCATACACACACACACTACCCCCATACACACACACTGCCATACACACACACTGCCATACACACACACTGCCCCCATACACACACACTGCCCCCACATACACACACTGCTCCCCCATACACACATACTGCCCGCCATACACACTGCAATACTCACACACACTGCAACTGTTACACACATACACTGCATCCCTGACATACACTGCCGCCCTCACTCACACACTACAACCTTCACACACACACACACACACACACACTGCACCCCTTACACATTGCACCACTCACACACACCACTGCTCCTATACCTTACTACAGCCCCATTTCCTAGCAGATCTCAGGTAAGTTGTCAAACTGTTCTTAAACGGTTTGACTACTTACTGTGGGAGGGGGTCCCGGCACTATTGACACCATAACCACTACACTGAGCTGTAGTGGTTATTGTGTCTGGATTATTTCTTTAAATAATCTACAAGTGCCCCTCCCGAGATCAGGCTCTGGATCCGCCACTGGGCTCTATACATTTTTAAATAAATCAATACTGGTATAATAATTATTAACCCATAGCTTATAAGCCTTATATAACAAGGGAAGAATCAGAGTCCACACAGTATTGCCATTTGTGCTCAAAGATGGCATCCTGGTGGATCAAGATGGCTATCTTTCCCTTGATAAATCCAAATGTCCATGCATGGGAAGGGAGGAGGGCCAGAGGGAGGGCTAGATCAATAGGGCATGTGTGTGTCTCTATGTGTGCCACTGTGCCAGTGTATGTATCTGTGTCAGTGTGTGTGGCAAAGATGCCTCTGCCACGAGCTCGTGGAGGAGCCTGCTGGCTACCCTCCTGCCCAAGGGCTATGGGCCCTGGAAAAGACCTGCTAAAATACTTTGTTCGTGGGTTTTCCCTGTTTGGTTCAGGAACCAAACAAACCCACGAACTAAGGGCAACCCGGATGCTTGTTAAGCCCTATTGACACCTTTTAACGATTCACACCTCAGTGTTCTAAGTGTTCGGCTAGGTGTCTTCCATTTGAATGCACGAACACATGGTGGCGGCCATCTTTTTCGCATGGACGCAGGCAGCGGTATTTGATCATTGAGTGCATGGAACTAAAATCGCTGAACTTCCATTTTCGCCTGCGTTCGGCTCTTTACATTGTGGAAAGGCACTGTTGGGTGTAATCGTTCGCATGAATCAGGTGAACAAACTCCATGTTACAATTTTGGACTACGTTTCACAGTTTGTCAGTTTTTATACTCCCGAATTTGACCGACCGCTACCACTTTTCTTATGAAACTATTTTGGGCAGGAGCCTCGTGTGCGTTTGGTCAAAAGTTGACTTCCTTGGAAAATCCGAACTACTGAACCGATCTGAGTGATTTTTGGATATGTTGGTAACTTAGATCGGGGCTATCCAAAATTATGACTCTTGTGGGGTTTCCATGGATTTTGGGGGTACTTTTGGGGTGTTTGAAAATTGGATCTTTTTCTGTACCTTGCGATAATTGAGTTTGTACAGTTCCTGACTCAATTATCTCTCAGGGGAGGAGTTTACTGTTTGTATACATTCTGTGACTCGGCTCATGTGTGGGGAGGAATGCTATACTGGTCTATTTCTTGTTATACCTGCTATACTCTCTGCTAGGAGAGCTCTAATCACTGGGAGCTGGATACAGGATCCTGGTACAGGGTGGGAAGAGGAAGTGAGAACCCAGCCAAACTGTGGCAGCTACAGGCTGGAAGTGCTTAAAATTTTATGAGTCCTCTGTTCATTTTGTCAATTATCCAGCTTGATAATTTAGAGGTAAGAGTTGTCCAATACACATATATGTATAGATTTATACATGTGTATATATTTTTCATAACAATTATTAATTATCCCAGATTGACAAATATTTTATGAAATGGTTAAACTTTGGTGGCCGCTTGGATTGACTTTGTTTTTGATTTGGGTAGTTTCCTTCAACAATATTGCCGTCAGTTGAAGCCCTTAGTAATGGATTCCTTGCAATCCGGTGCTCTCTAGTGAGTCAGAGCACAGCCGTCAGATATTTCCAGCTTGCACTCTGACTCACTGAGTGCTGAACTGCGAGGGAGCGATTACTGAGGTCTGCATCCTTCAGTGATGCAAACCTCACTGTACCATCAGGGACTCAGGCTCTCAATAGACCACTAGGCAGAGCTTACTTCTGGACCACCATTGAGTCTGACCCCTCTATTGGAGCACCTGGGATTATAGCCCACCTTCGACGAAAAAAGCCAAGACACATTACATACAGGTTGAATGTTTTAGCTGATTTTATGCTAAAGCTATCTGAAAGATAGATGTAGATTTTTGGACAGAGGCCTTGTGGGGCACAATTGCAGTGCTCTCCATTGGTGCTATCTTTAGTAGATATGCCTTTGGATAAGTGTGCATTTGGCATTGTTGTGGATTTTCATTTCTCTCTATTTATTGGATGACAGTGCCAGCGGCCAACAGTGACTGTAAACAATACCTCTGCATCTCCAGAGTGTCAGAGTACCTTGCGTTCTTGCTTCTGCAGACCTCCCGAAAGGTCTGCAGACAACTTTTGAACGGTCTGATGGCTCTTTCGGTTTCCCCCGTGGTCTGAACTCTGGTCTCTGGAATTCCACCCACTTTTATGATGCATGTATCATTATGATAACGCTGATGACGTTACGCAACACCAGTTTCGGACGTAATACATATTTTGGGATGTGGCTACCTATTTAATGAGTCATGCTATAAATAGCTGCCTTTGGCTCTATTTTGTTCCCAATAGCGCATTTTGTATTTAGTACTGTCTATCTGTTTTTTTATTACTGATTTCTGGTTTCCCTTTATCTAGCTTGTTCTTGACTATTCTCCATGTGGTTACATAAAGCTTAGCCACTCTAAAGACAAGTATGAGTCAATTTGCGTCTCCAAGTTGAGTATGTATGTAAGTAATAAGAAACATCCCTTGATTTCTAAACCATCTGTTCACAATTACCATGAGCATTTATAGGATATCACAAGACAAACTAAGATGTTTTACAGTAATAGTAATGCAGGGTGTGGGAAATGAAATCAAGCAATACTGTCAAGAATCAAAAACAGGTCAATAATATTAATTTACTATCTGTCTTGGTAATAAAACAATAATTCATGTTAACAGACAGGGTTTCCGACAATTGTAATGGATTATATATGTAGCTCATAGTCACATGTTTCCCTACTACTAGACAAAGTTTCTGCATCTGACCCATGTCTGTGTCTGTCAGAAATTACGGACTGAGCTGCTCGTTCTAATGGAAATCCACCATTGGGTAGTCCTTTTTATAAGAATTAAATCTCTATGGCTACAAAAGAATGCATGATAGTTATAGCGTTGCAATAAGTTCCTATACTAATACAGTTATGCAGACTGTTGGAATTGAAAAACTATTAACCCATAGTATCACAATGACTTGTTTTGGGGAAAAGGGGTTGGTTTTTTAAGTTTTTTTTTTTACTGGAGACCCTCAGCTAATTTTAGGGCTCCTATCCAAAGTAATTGTTAAGAAATCAAACGTAAGCCAATGTAATAACTTTCGACTATTAGCTATACGCAGCTAAAAAAAAGCTCAAATTTTCAATTTAACAGACATATGTCTTAACCAATTAACGACCACTCTTACAGATGGCGTTAATGTTGTAATGACTCAAATTTAAAGCGGCACTGTCACTGTCTGTTGATTTTGCAGGATTTTCAAGACCCTCAAAAGGTGACATCGCCAGCAGGGGGGCAGGAAAAGGTGAGTTCTACTTATGTAAACATGTGCCTCGTGGTGCCTCTATCTTCCTCTGACATGTACTCTTCGCCAGGAGCCAACATCACATGCGCAAGAGCACAGCATTTAAGTCTTTAGAGGATCCCACAAGACCAGGGATCCACCAGAGACAGAGCCAATTGTATAACATAACAGGGGGCTTCATATTTGAACCCTAATTTAGCATGTGTAGGTGAGTGCAGCCAAACCCTTATTTTCTCATATATGTATATATTTAGGAGTCTAGCCAGCTCCATGGGTTTTGCACCCCTCCCTGTTACAGGTGCCTCATCTCAGGATCCTATTTAAGCATTGTACTGCAGAGACCTCGAGATGGAAGGATTTCCCCAATGAGAAGCTCATTTAGCAGACAGAGTAGGACCTGCCAAAGATGGGGTACACGTTGTGGCAGGCTTATGCAATGTATGATCATATACTGTAACTAAACCCCCATTATATTTTTTTGCCTAGATTAGGTGTTTTTAATAAAACTGAAAATTGTTCAGCATTAAAATGACTGTTTAGTAGATAAGCGAGTGCGCTGGATTTTCATTTTCACTGTACTTATTGGCCCCCAGCAGCACCCTAATTTAGCATGTGTAGGTGAGTGCAGCCAAACCCTTATTTTCTCTAACAAATGTTTGACCATCGGAACATATGCCACCCTCGCTCCGGGGACTGGTCACCCCAGGAACATCTGGCAAATTTTATGTACTTTTGGTTGCGGAAATCTCTCGACAAAGACATTTGTAAATGTATGAGGTCGGAATGCCCTTGCCCCACTTTCACCAACAAAGTCGCTGCAACCCCTGATTTTGACCAGCTGATGCTGGCATTAATGGCTCGCGGAAGCCGTGACCCTCGCAAGGGAGTTGAGCGAGGATTCACAGGAGTGCAGGATAAACTCCTGGATTCCATTGGGCCACTGGCCAGAGTCATGTACTTAGCAGACGATGCTTATGTCCGAGCGGAGGAGTTCAATACGGACATGGTGCGTGAATGGGCACGAAATCTCCCAGAGTGGGCACAACGGTGCTTTTGTTTTATTGGGAACACCAACGTGGCTCTCTCTTCGGAGAGGCGCCGAGCAGCACTTTTATGAATCAACACAAAGTTGGTGGATTTGGAGGCCAAGGTATTCGGCCCCCAGGCACAGGGTAGGCTTTTCGGAGAGGCCTTCATCAAGGAACTAATAGTATAGTGGAAAAGGTGGCAGAGGACGTGCCCGAGCAAGTCCTTTTCCTTCTTCTCCTCTTTCTACTGTTCATATTGCAGGTCGTGTTTCTGCTTTTTTTAAAAACTGGGCAGACTTTTCCACGGACGCTTGGATCCTACAGATAGTTCATGGATACTGAATAGAATTCGTGAAAGTTCCCGTTCAATCACACCTGCCCCACCCACTGCAATTCACGGCCAGCAACGCTCGACTCATAAATCTGGAGCTTTGGAAACTTCTCGAAAGGAGCCATTCAACCGGCACTGGATACCTGAGGCTTCTTCAGCAATATATTCTTGGTCAGGAAGAAATCTGGGGAATTTCATCTGGTCGTCAACCTGCAGAAATTGAACGCTCGGTCGTTTACAGGCACTTCAAGATGGAAGGCATCCATGTC